AACACGGTGCTTTTTTTATGTCTCAGCATCGTTTCAGATAAAACCTGTTTCTAAAGTCCAAAGTGCAGCTGTTTCATACAAAGCCTACCGAGGAGACACTTTCGTCCTCATATGAGGTGACTGTCAAGTAGTGCTTCTGAAATAGGCTTAGAATCTCTGTAACACTTTCCCAAGTTCATCGTATTTTATGTAGCACCATAAACTGTCGACGATACATATGCAGTATGGTCTGTACGTGTGCTTGCTGGAATCAAACAAGACTTAGGCACTATAAGCGTGCGCTTGGTCCACATTATTCCTTTCCAGAAAGTTCAATTCCAAGTGAGGAGGACGGTTTGCCGCGTATCTCTTCGCGAGCCATTTCTGGGATGATGAAGAAGCCATTCCGTTTCTGACGAAAATGCGCTTTGGTATCCAGGGTCAAAGGTACTTCAATCACGGGCTTAAGCGATAGCCTCATCTCGTCTCATGAAGCCACTTGATAAGCGGCCAAGCCTGACAACGTTCTTGTCTCAGATATTTGCCGCCACCCAAGTTTTGGTTGTTATGCGCACTCGGATAGTTCGATTAGGGTTATTTGAGAATTGGTATTGGACTAAAATAAGCTTCGCGATCTCGTTGAAGTCCATCTCGTCTCGCCTGGCTGCGGTCTCCTTCCGGCTGGACTGCGGTTTCGACCTCATTCCTCTCTCACATCCTCACTTTCAACTGGATTCCAAATATACACATACTAAATAGAATATATTCCTGACATGTTTCGCGTGTCAATGCTCTTTACTTTCAAACAATCCACTTCTGGTCCCGGCTCATCTGCCAGTCTCGGAACACGCACAATTCCAGAACTCACTCACTCTTGAATGATGAAGAACTGTTCAAATGACTCGGACATGCTCAAAGAACATGGCTCTCACTTCGGAGACGGTGAAGTGGATGGATCATCTGCAAAAGAGATGATTTGTTCAGCTTGTAGTAGATCTGCCGAACAGCTTTCGGCAGAGGATATAAGGATCCACTCCCTTAGCTCCATTAGTTTTGTGCACATTTACGCAAGCATTATTAGCTTTATGTTTGTCGACATGCCAGACCTGATGCCTATTGAGGATCAAACATTCTTCCTGCCCACCAATAAGGAATGCACTTATGAAACTTCTTTTGTAGACAATCGAGAAATAATGGTTTTCTACCTCTAGCGCCCTAAATTTAGTTGCTACACGCTAACAAAGCGGTTGACAGGTGCGCAAAAGAAAGAAGGATAGTCAAGTACGAACGCCTCTGAGGGGAACGGGAATCACCTCTTGTCTGTTCCTATCTTCTGCTCTCCATTTTTGGCATTTCTTAAGGTTGGAAAAAACCTATTGTTGAATACCAATAGCTCCTACTTCTGACTGGCAAAGTGATGCGAACAGCCCTACACAAGACTTTCCTGTTGCTGAAGTGGCAATGCATACGGCGGTGCTGGAACTGTCTTTGTGAAGCCACTTTGGGACGAGTACAATTGAACATAATACCTAAACTAGGCCTAAAATGTTTCATATCTGCCCACGTATACTCACTTATTGGCACAATTGGCACGACTGAGAAGAGTGGGCAAGAGGATTTGCACAGACGTACCACTTAAATGTGATATGACATGTATTCACCCTATTTGGTTTAAGGGGATCAGGGACTGGTGGTTGAATTTTCCCCAAATGATATGAGTAGAGCTGACGTTTCCATTCAATTTCACATAGACTTGCTTTCCCAAAAGGTGTCCTCATCCAGGCTGAAGTGAACTGCAATTTTGACCTCGGATAGGTCTTGCCAACCCTTCCGAGCGGGGGTCGAACCATGAAAGTGCAACTTATAAACTCGACACATCAACCACTACGCCACGTTGCCACGAGAGCAATTGGGTTACTGGGCAGATGCACATTTCAAGGAATGTCAGGCATTTTCCATATCACATTGTGTGTTGGGATTATTGATGAAGCAAATTATATTTGCTATGGCAATCGACGACATTACTATTTTCATGATTGAGTAGGTTTTCGAGACTACCAGTAAATCGGATATGAATTATATTTACCCTATTTCGTTTGAGGTATTGTGGGACGAGCAGTTAAATTTTCCCACAAGAATATGAGTAGGCAAATGATTTCCAATGAAATTCACATTGTGGTCGAATGGTTAACTTGTCAAGTAAGTTCACATGCGGCACCGTCGCGGTTCGATTCCCGCTAGGCGAGGTCTGAACTGCAGTATACTCAAACCGGGATGAGAACAAATTTTGGGAAAGCAAGGTTTTGTGCAATTCAATGGAAATCGTCAGCTCTATTGATATCATTGTGGCGAAAATTAACTACCAATCCTTCCTCAACCTAGACAGAATAGGGCAAAAACAATGCATATATATGACTTACTGGTAGTCTCGAAAACCTACTCACTCACAAAGATTGTTACTTGCTGCAAATCACTTGTGACAAATTTTATTCATTGATGAGTCCGGCTCGAACTTGTAAACCTCATCATAGCTATGAAGACCAAGATGGCGTGGCCTTCTGTTGACTTGCATTCTCCTTTAGCGTTATAGTGTTGGTTTGACCTCGTGTTGGCAATTTAGTCGGAGCGTCAGGGAGCCCTTTTGGAACGTACTTAATCCTGTTTTGCCTGCCATTATATTTGCGATTTCCAGCATCGGGCCAATGGCTTGGTACAATCATAAATGTTTCACGGGCATTGTGGTCAGCAGCGTCCGTTAAGGGTGCTTTCGTCAGCAAATAGTAACAATTTCTCAACAGGCTATCCTATTCTATTCTATTCTATTCTATTCTATTCTATTCTATTCTATTCTATT